TGTTGCAGTTTCGATTGAGAATAAAGTCATTGAACATTTAGAAAGAGGCTCTCCCTCATCTCACCCACAGAAACTGCATTATTCTCCTTCTCTTGACGGCCAACATTCCCATTACTTGTCCACAGTTCATAGGAACTTAGGCTTCAGTTAAAATGTGGTGCTTTTGTTGAGAAGGTATGATTAAACAATGTATAGAAACGAAACTAAACTATACAAGATACACAGTAAATTTTCATGATCTGTGAACTAATTTTAGACACTACGCACAAACATACTAATCATGAAATACACCCCATGCCTCATAATGATGCAGTACAACAAAGGAATCGACTTAGGGTGCATCACATATAATAAGAGCATCCATGCAAATAGTCTATGTAATAATCTACATTATTATTCACAATTTTCACAAATACAATTAAAAACAACAGTTCCTCAAAGTAAATCCTACATTTCATAGTTAAAGCTAATAGCTGCTCAATGGCCAGACATGACCAGGTACAATGTGACCAGCCCAAAAGGTATTTTGGCAGACATTGTCTATTGACCAGCTATTATTTGGAACCTTGCATTTTTGAAATTTTAATTTACCTTGAGATTGTGCACAACAAACTTCTTAAAACCATCAGGCATCAAGTGTCTTGTTTTGCGGTTACTACCATAACCAATACTTGGCATCAAATATTGGCCCTTAAACCTACGTCGAACCCTGTTGTCAATACCTTTGGGTTTGCGCCAGCTTTCCTATAAGCAATAACATTCGAAAATCACATTTCTGATCCTTAAGACAAGTAATAGGGTAGGACTAAAGATAGGTTAGCGGGTTTAACACTTTATTTTAATACATGTGTGTGCTTAGTATCATGATTGCTTAGGCAATTATTTTAAAGCATACATCACAAAATAGTCAAAAACAAAAACAAAAATCAAAGACCAGTTTTGTTAGCACTGTTTTCACTGCTTTGTGCTGATCAAGATGAAGAGTCAAAAAGGGTTATTGGGTACTATTAATGACGCTACTATCAATAGAATAAATCGCAAATGTAAAGGTACATGGGAACAACGGAAACTGTGGGAATGTATGTGGAAACAATATATTTGACTAACAGTAGCCTTTGATTAGAACACATTTTACATGGTAGCTCTAAGCTTAATTGTGTTTAATAAGTAGAACACTTACCCCAACACGCTTGTAGCGATCAGACTGATGCCTGATGAATCGCTTCGTTCTCTTTTTGAGAATCTTAGGTTTATTCACTGGCATAACCATTTTGGCTGTGTTAATATGACAAATACAAAGGGTTAAAGGTTTTTCTTCAAGACTTGATGTTTCTACATATACAATATACAGATAATCTAAACTCTTCAAGCAACTCAACATCTGTCCAGTGGTAGGCTGATATGTAAATGATAGCTCGAAAACAAAGACAGAAATCTTACGAAATATACTATATACACATGCATGACAACGAGATAGCATCAAACCAATTCAACTAATTGAAGTTTGTTGCAGTTTCGATTGAGAATAAAGTCATTGAACATTTAGAAAGAGGCTCTCCCTCATCTCACCCACAGAAACTGCATTATTCTCCTTCTCTTG